TGGAGTTCAGGGAAGGCATGCAGCCTGCAGCTGACCCTCTCCTTCACCTCCTGCAAGATTTAAAGGGCTTGCTGATCAGCTGGAGGGCCCTTTAAATCTTGGAGGAGGGGAGGGAGAGGGGCAGCTACAAGATTTAAAGGGCCCTCGAGCTGATTGGCAGGCCACGTGCTCTCTTGATCAGCTGGAGGGCCCTTTTAATGTCCCAGGAGGGGAGGGGAGAAGGGGGGAGAGGGGCAACAGCTGTTGTGAGGCCTGCCTCACATTTGAGAAGGCAGACCACCGTATCCTGTTTGCCTCTCTCCTTCATCGTCTGTTCTGCAAAAGCTTGCCTGCCTTTGAAAAGTACAAGCCAGGTTTTGCATCCCTTCTTTTTAGGCAAACTGCCTATTACGGGGAAGGTACTGTGGTCTAACGTCTGCTCCCTCCCCTCTCCAAGGAAATAAGCAAAATGTCTGCCTCTCACCCTTGGAGGCATGCTCCTTTACTGTTGTGGGGAAAACTGTGGCCTTTGTATCAGTTCCTCCCTCCAGTGCTCAGCCTGCTGCTCCTGCCTTGGGGAGTTCAAGCAAAATGGCAAGAAGACAGAAGCAGTACTATAGAAGAAAATGAAAGAGCAAGTTAACGGGACCCACTATTGCTTATGTATTATACAACCAAATAAGTCCTCAGTGCAAAGACCATGTTTGGAGGAGGCAGTTCAGAGTGGCATGAGTCTCTGTGTTAAACACATAAGAGTTACCATTCTGAATCAGACAAATGGACCATCTAGTCCAGCATCCTGTTCTGCAGTGGATGATCAGGTGCTACAGGGAAGCCCACAAGCAGAATGTGTAGTTAGGCTGTACATTTCCATCATCAGCCATCTGGGCTACTGAGAACTTGTGAATTCTATCATAGGGAGAAAAGCCAAACAGTACAGCAGTTTTATTTACCAGGTTGCACACAGCTGAATGTACCGTGCCACATAGCTAGTGCTTTATAGAAAATCGATGTAACTTCAATTCTGTGGAAATTGTGCAGAAAAGACTAAAATGTTCAGTGCAGGTTTTGCCTCATGCTCATATTACCCTGGAATTCAAGGCTCTGATAATCCTTTATGGTTTTACATATTCCCCAGTATCTGCCTTTGACTACATATTAGAGGGTGACTGACCTGCAAATAATCTTGCTGATTCTTATAACCAAGATATATTAGCATGCATTTTTCCAAGTCAACTTTAATTTTGATAATATTTTTAGCCTTTCCTAGGACTTTAATTTTTTTCATCTAACCTTCTGTTTGTAATATCTCTCAGTGTAATTTAATCAACACATTGAATGGATGCAATGTCAGCCTCTCCCAACTTTGCTGATTTTTAATTAAAATACTGAGTAACAGTGTTAAAGAGCTCCCCCAATGGAATCAGTGAAAATGCATTATGAGTACATGTGCTGTAAAGTATCAAAATTAGTATTTTGAGACACAGTGCTGGAGTGGTTTAAACAGTGCCGGCATTCAGACGGTGTGCCGGAGTGGTTTAAACTGCTCCGGTTCCAATTGGATTGTATTTGATCCAGGACAAGCGCGATCACATTATCCTCTCTCGCTGCAGAGCACATCTCTCCCGAGCGTCCACACGGCAGCACGCGTCAGCAGTTTTTAGTCTTTATTTTTTCGCAGTCTGCGCATGCACAGAACAATGTATCCTGAAAAGCATGCCCTGAAGCGAACCCTTCCCTTTAAACTTTTACAAGTATACTGGCCTCTGTGAGGTCCCGGAGTGGTCTAAAGCCTAAAACTAAGCACCATTTCATTATTCGTTCTATTAACGCCGGGGTGAAGCTTTGCCCAAGCGCACATCGCCGACGCTAAAATAAAATGGTGGACGAAAAGCAGAAGCCTTGGGCTTCTGAGCGGAAGTGGCTCTACACCGGCGGAGGCACGATCACACAGGGGGAAAATGCGGCTACGACCAGAGCACCAGGAAAACACCACTTGGGGACCTGGTAGCAAAATACTCCAGTTTAAAGGGTGTTGGGGACGGCTAGGGATGGGAGGCAGATGTTGGCTGTGTGATCGCACGTAAGTAGTCCATTCCCAACCGGCATGTATACCGGCTCAAATGGCCCGTCTGAACGCACCCAGTGTGCATTTATTTAGGTATAGCTCTTTGTATGTCAGTCACAATTTCCATTTAAAAAACAAATGAGATTAATATGTGATATAGTACATTTATGAAGTATAATTATTTACAATCATGGATATATTTTTCATGTTAAATATGAATACTACAAGTATAGCTTCTATGCTATACATTTGTTGTTGTCTGTACCTTTTTTTTTTGGAGTGTCAGTAATTCAAAATTGGCAGATAAGTATCTTTTATTGGAGCAACTTCTGTTTTTAAAGGCCTGGAATGTAGTTTACATTTGTCATATCAGCTACAGTGTAATCCTAAACAGAGTTACACCTTTTAAGTCTGTTGAAGTCAAAAGCCTTAGAAGGGTATAACTCTATGTAGGGTTGCACTACTTAGGATTAGTAATCCTGGCAACATTGTATCCTCTGATTATAAATGGCTGAGCTATTGAGAATATAACATTTGAGGAGCACCTTCTGGAACTGTATGGTCTTTTTCAAAGTGGCCATCATGATGTTCATAGAAGGCCTACAAAAAAGGCATGGAGAACAAAGTTCTTTCCTACTGCTGCCCACCAGCTGTTTGAATTTTGAGGTACACTACCTCTGAATATGAAGGCTCTATTTAGCTATCATATCTAATGTTGTTAGACCTGTCCTCAAGAAATTTTTCTAATCCTCATTTAAATTCATCCAAACTAGCGGCCATCATCTTGTGCAAGTGAATACCCTCAGTTAAGTATGCATTGTGTGAGAAATTATCCTCTTTTATCTGTCCTGAATCTACTGCCCATGGACTTCACTGGGTGCATTTGAGAGAAGCAAAAATTCCTAAAGTAATCTCAGAAGAAGCAGCTTGCTGCAAAACTTGCTTATTGTTTTCCATTCCTGTTAGTCACAGCTAGAACTTCCCTCATTGACTAGAATTAAAGGAAGGAATAACAGGCCTGTTTCCTCTATAGAAAACTATCAACACATTTTGCCTTCTGTCTCCAGATCTAGAAGGCTTAGAGACTTGCTGCTTCTTCTTCTTTTTTAAAAAGAAAGCTGGAATCATCACCAGCTAAGGCACCAAACAGATACTGGGTGACATGCCTAGATTTCCTGTAAAACCAAACCCACCAAGATGGCAGCCCTATAGCTACATGATTGCATATGATAGCTAATAGTAGTTGATGTCTTATATTACTTGTGTCCCCATTACAATGGGAGGGGGACAAAATGTTACAGCTAAGAAAAAAAATAGATGATATGTAGCTGCTTAGGTAGTTGAGTAGATAAAAGGCATACTTTTCACAACTATAGAGAGCAGGAAGTAAAGGGAAAGTAGAGTAAAATAGATAAGGGCACTGTGTCACTGTATAGTTGAATTTAGTGTAGAGTTATGTATATGTAGTCCCACTCCAATTTTGGCAGTGAAGTTTATAGTCATTGAGGAGGAGGAGGAGGAGGAGGAGATTGGATTTATATCCCGCCCTTCACTAAGTCTCAGAGTGGCTTATAAACTCCTTCCCCTTCCCCTCCCCACAACAGACACCCTGTGAGGTAGGTAGGGCTGAGAGAGCTCTTGACAGAAACTGCTCTTTTTCAAGAACAGCTCTGACAGAACTATGGCTTGCCCAAGGTCATCCAGCCAGGTGCAAGTGGAGGAGGTGTGGGGAATCAAACCCGGTTCTCCCAAATTAGAGTCCATGCACTTAACCACTACACCAAACTGACTCTCACATTGAGTGAATGATCTTTCATTATTTGTCTTTGAAATACTATGTGTTTACAGATGATTTTTACATGGATTAATTTGAGTCATTAGAATTTCATAATTGTGCTGTTTGTTGTGTTTCCTAGTTTATGGGGACTGTTATCAATAACCAAGTCAACAGTCCATTACATTTTCCACTAGTCTGCTCCTTTTGTATTCCTAATTTTATTCTATCCTGTGTCTAATTCTGAGGTAATTTCTCTTTGTTTTCATTCAAGAGACTGAAGATTGTGATGAATTGCTTGTTATAATCACTTGCATCAGCCTTTTACAGTGCAGTTCTTTGCATAAATCAGTGGGTGTAGGCTGGAATAATTTTGCAAAGGCTTACACTACAAATTTACTTATCTGCAAGTTTGTATCCTCACAAATGTATGCTTTTTAAAATAGACCTGGATAGCCCAGGCTAGCCAATCTTGGAAGTTAATCAGGGTTGTTTGTGGTTAGTATTTGGATGGAATACCAGGGCTGTGACATGAAGGCAGGCAATGGCAAACCACCTCTGTATGTTTCTTGTGTTGAAAACTCTATGGAGTCTCCATAAGTCAGCTGTGAATTGATGGCAAAAGAGGGGAGGAAAGGGGCACCTAAAAGCAAAATCATCAGAGCTTCTAATGATTGATTTTAGATAGTAAATCTTTCTGTGCCTTAATATACATCTATGACAAATATTTAAAAGTAATAAGAAACTCAGAGATATACTTATGTCTTAAAATTGATGATTTTGCCTACTTTTCAAAAGAGTTTAAATAACGTAGTGATCTGGCCAGGTGAATTCACTGAGTTGTTTTAGGTAAGACCTTATCTCAGCTACAGATCTTTTTTCTTAAATAAGAGAATAATACCAGAATACTTTAGAGGGATGATGTAAGAATAATGGCATAATGTACTAAGTACTTTGAGTGCTCTGGGAAGTGATATACACATAATTCTTGCTATTAGTGTTATATGTTACAACTTTTTTTCTCATGCTGCAACTATCTGACCTCATTATATATCTAAAAACAGAACTAAGATGTCTAGACAACTTTGTATTATAATTATTTTGTTTTAGTGCCTTAGCTCAAAGCCATAGCAAAAGACACCTCTGTATTATTTCAGCTGTTCTAATCTTTATTTCTAGATTACCGACATAATGGAAGAGATCTTCAAAGCTCAACACTATCAGTGCCAGAACAAGTGATGTCATCCAATCACTGCTCTCGGTCAGGGTCCCCTCACCGTGGAGACAGTATAGGACGGACCAGGTCATGGTCTCCCAGTGTCCCTCCTTTACCAAGGTAAATTATTGCCTCCATATAGCTTTGGAATGTGAACTGCATTTCGATAGTTGCTAGAAATTATTTCTGTAAACTCAAGACAGAAAAAATATAATTAATTATGCTTTTTTATTATGAGAAAAAATGTACCAGCATTTTCTTAATTTATCTCTGCAGTAAAAGCAAGAATTTGTTTTTCTGAGATCTCAGAGTCTAGTAAAGGGGAAGCCCGCCTCCCAGCTTAGTTTAGAATTGGATTCAAGTAAATTGAGTTATTTACCAATATGTCAGTAAATACTATTCTGAATCTAATTCCAATTGTTTGTGATGTTCTAAGCACTGCTGTTGCACATCAAGAAACTGACCCAATCCAACCTGCTTGTTACTATGTAGAGAGAAACGGTTACTTTTTTCCCACCATAGAGAACAATGGAGGGGATAGGGACAACCTGTTTGGGGGCCCGTAGAATAGGACCCCCTGGTCCAATGTTCTTCAGACTTGGTTGGTATCTTGGGGAGAGGCTCCAGCAGCTACCCTGACAATTTGGAGCCTCTCCCTCAAGCCCCCTCCCCTCCAGCCCCCAGAATATACCCTATGTTTTTGCTATTGACTTCAATGGCCCATAGGATATAATGGGGCTGAATTGCTGCCAAAATTCGGCAGCAATTCGGTGGCAAGCCGATTCAGATCAGAGAATCTGAATCGGCCTGCAGCAGCCCGAAAAGGGTCCAAATGGGCCATTTCCAGGGGTGCATTCGGTTCGTCCGAACCGAATGCACATCCCTAATCCTGACTCTGTCTTCTACTGTATTTGCTACCCCTCCCAATTTAGTATCATCTGCAAATTTAATAAGCATTCCCTCTATCCCTTCATCCAAATCATTGATAAAGATGTTCAACAAAACAGGTCCCAGGAAAGATCCTTGAGGCACTCCACTTGTCACTCCTCTCCAAGAAGATGAGGAACCATTCACAAACACTCTTTGGGTGCGATCTGTCAACCAGTTACAGATCCACCTTACAGTCAGAGGATCCAAACCACATTTTTCCAATTTGTCAACAAGAATATTATGTGGAATCTTATCAAAAGCCTTACTGAAATCAAGATAAACTATGCCTACAGCATTCCCCTGATCCAGCAAGGTAGTAACTTTCTCAAAAAAAGAGATAAGGAATAGTGGGAATAGTTAATGTTAATGCCAGCTGACTCAGCAGAAGAATAATGAACCAGGTGAAATAGTAACTGTATCTCTCAATATTTAGATCAGATATCAGTTGGGAAACCTCAGTTTGGATCTGTTGCATCAGTGGAAAACCACCAGTTGCCTCAATCCTTCATGAGGTTTATTTGTCAGGTAGAAGCACAGAGGTGCTCTGATTGTTGGCTGATTATGCATTCCCAGCCATTCCCCTTTGAACCTATGGCTTATGTTCACTGTCAAAGACTGTCTTTCTGGTGGGGAATTATGTCCAGGCATAGGATCAGAGTTAATTGCCCTCTCATTGTGCAAGGAAAGAGGGGTCTTTTTACCTGTGCCAATTCAGAGGGCACCATCTTTCTGAACATTCTGAGACAGCCAGTGACAGGAGTAGCTGACTTAGTTTTGGAATTCAGTGGGATGACCTTCTGTTCGATCCTGGGTGTGTGAAATACTCATAGTGACATTAAATACTGATGTGTAACATAATCTGTTCGTACTGAATGTGCATTGAAGCTATGGGTGCAGAACTGGTGTTATTTGGATTGACCCATATTTTCTGCTACAAAAGAATCTTATAATTTGTTTTCTGGAGAATTCTTCTAACATGATCTTTCAGTTGCAGTAGGTATTTGATTCTTATATGGTAGAGTGTTAGTAAGCTGTTGACCCACTAGTTCTTGTTGCAGTCCTCTTATGTCAGCACAGGATCTACTCTGTATATGTAGCAATACAGAGCAGGCATAGCAGTTTGCATTTAATAATCCAGCAACACTGGTTGAGTGCACTGCAAATAATCACAGGAACACACAGAGAGTGAATACTATAAGCAAGACTCTCACTAAAAGGAAGCAAATGGATAAAATATTTCAAACTCTGTCTAAACATGTATTTATTTATGTTTATTTGTTTAAACATTTATATGGCACATTTCCACCTAATCAGGGTGTACGAGGTGGGAAACATAAAAACATTTAAATAAAATATTGTTAAAAGTATAAAATTCAATTAAAAACACATAAACAAACAACACTATAAGGAGGGCCAATAACCATTATTGGGAGTATGCCAGAGAAAACAAAAAAGTCTTCACCTACTGATGAAAGACAACAGCACTTTCACACATGGTATGGCACATAATATACTGCCACATAGTACAACAAATCACACAGTCCCATCGAACACAGTTCAGTATAGCAGCAAGCAATTGATAATAGTGAACTAACCTACAGAATGGGAACTTACAGATACTCAGTGAGATAAAAGTACTGACAGGGAAATAGCATTGCATTGCTAACTTATATAGAAACCAGACTTAAATCCTATCCCAAATTGCTGAATCATAAGAACATAAGAGACGCCAATGTTGGATCAGGCCAAAGGCCCATCCAGTCCAACACTCTGTATCACACAGTGGCCAGAAATACCAGTGCCATCAGGAGGTCCAGCAGTGGGGCCAGGACACTAGAAGCCCTCCCACTGTTGACCCCCCCCAAGCACCAAGAAGACAGAGCATCACTTGCCCCAGAGCCCCTAGCTATACCTTGTGGCTAATAGCCACCGATGGACCTCTGCTCCACATGCTTATCTAATTCCCTTTTGAAGCCGTCCATGCTTGTAGCACCCACCACTTCCTGTGGCAGTGAATTCCATGTGTTAATCACTCTTTGGGTGAAGAAGTACTTCCTTTTATCCGTTCTAACCCGACCGCTCATAAGATCAATATATGGACTGGCAGAATGCTGTACACAGACAGACCATTGACAACATCTGCTAACTCTGTTAGCGGGATAAAGGGCATGTTATTCATATTATCTGCTGACACACTTTCCTTCTCCTTCCATTAACACTGGCTGTGGTCACACACACTAAATAATCCACTTTCAATCCACTTTCAGTGCACTTTCCAACTGGATTTTACTTGTGTGAACCGACAAAATCCAGTTGGAAAGTGGATTGAAAGTGGATTATTAGTATGTATAACCGCAGCCACTATCTCCCCCTTCTCACTACACAGCTTCTTTCTTGGGTACCTGTGAAAAGCAGACACTGCAGGCACCTGAAGTTGCAACACATTTCAGAAGATTTCTGGAGATTATTAACTGTCATTACTTTCGCACTCAGATACTTTATGATACCAACAATCAAGAAAATGACTTTGTTTACTAATGTGAAAGTAAATAATATAAAAGGCTAAACATTGTGCAGTTCCCTTAAAAGGACACTAAGACAATGTGTGAATTATATTTTGTCAGACATATAAAGCATGCAGCTGTAATACTAGAATTCATAACTTTGGTTAAATAATCAGGTGCTATTTGTAGATTTACTTAGACCCTCCCTGCCACACCATTTCCATGCTTAGAATTTTGGCATCAGTGTTAGCTACAGTTCAGGGTAATCAGGTTGCTAATTAAACCAGATATTGGAATTAGTTAAAAACCCTGTCTATTTTGCAGTAATTCTCCCAATTTGCATACTTTAAAACAATATTAATTTTCCTCAATTCTATATTTCCCCCCAAATAGTGTTGTAGCAGGTAGGGATGAATGGGTGATCGGGGTGGGGAAGCAGTGGGGTTTTATATTATTGATGAGTAAAAGTAGGCTGTGATTTTCAGTGTAATTAAGATGCACCCTTTTAAATCCACTTATGTCAGTGGGCTTAAAATAGTTCAAGTGTACTTAGGACTGCATGGTTAATGGCATGTAAATATTCACGGTTCAGGGCACACACACCTGTGCATATATTGGTACCCTGGGATGGTGTATCATTTCCCCCCCCCCAATTTTTGTCTCTCTAACCAAAAGGGCTCCCTCTTTATGCTTTGTCTGAAAGCCAAGATTCATGGATGTTTGTACTGATGGTTGGATGCTGCATCACTTCCATGAAATATCATGTATCCTGGAGGAAAGAAAACTATCAGCCCTTAACGGATTGTAATAAAATCAAGGGTGTCAGATGTTACAACTAACATCATAAAAGTAACACATTTTAGTGATTACCATAAGGGATAGCTCACTCCCCCCTCCCTAAGACACTGATGGTTTTGTTTCTTCAGTAGGAATGTGGAACAGGGGTCTCGAGGGACCCGATCTACTCCTGCACATTACAATACCATGAACCGAATGGATAGACATCGAATAATGGATGACCACAACTCCCCAGACAGAGAGAGGTAGATATTCCAAAGTCATAGAGTAAATCAAAATTACATATTGCAGAGAAAAGCACTATCATTTCGGTTTTCTATTTAAACCTCAACCTCTCCGTTTTACAAAAGCACAATAGAGATATTTACCTAGTACTACCCCCTGAAATTATAATTTTCTAGTTATTATATTAGTGTGTTGTATTACATATCAGAAATTCCACAGTAGGCATTCATTGGTCAGCAGAGCATGAGGAAAGCTCTAAAAAATCTTACAAGGAGTATATTTTAGACAAACTGTAATATTGGCTCTACATCCTTATATTTTGTTTTGACTACCTTTGGGGTATTGGTACAACAACCATGACATTTATTATGTAGAGGTTTGAAACTGGTTGGAAATATACAAGAATTTACAATTTGAGCCTTTCAATTTTTGTACAAAAAATTATGGAGAGCCATACTGGCTTCTTCTTATAAAACTACCACTACCTTCTATAGACCATGCAGCATTGGGGTTTTTTTTAGTTTCACTGTAATGTCACCAGTTGCTGGAGAGGTGAACTGCTTTTTAAATCGAGTAATGGCTTGTCTCTTTGGAAACTGCTTCAAAAACTGCTTACCTGAAAGGTCTCGCCTCCCCCCCCCCCCCCCCGTCCACCTTGTTTTTATTATCACCTCCTAATGCAATAGGGTAATTTGTCTGTTCTTTCCACCACGAGGTTTGTGGTTTGTTTGTTTTACAAAGAATAACGAATTGCTGTATTTTCTAAGAGTGTGCTTTATAGCATGGCTTTCACTAAAGTTTTGCTTTACAAACCTTCATATATAGCAAGGGATGTATTGGCACATCTGTGTTTTTATATAATAGAAGTGAGCCAGAGGTTATACCTTGCTAAAGTTGCTTATTTTCCAAGGTTACCTGAAGCATTTTTTGCTTTCCTGTTTTAAAAAATAGACAGGGTATTTTCCACCTCATTGACTTTAGATTGTGAAAATAAGATTAAAGACTTACTAAGTTTTACATCAAAATTATGCTTTAGTATCTTATTAAGCCATTACACAATAAGATACCAATATAGCTGCTATGTATTATAGGTAAAATTGACAAATGACCTGCATTTCAAAACATTTATGCAGTAAGCTGCCTATTTAGCATTTATCGTTCAGCTGATATTTTTGAAAATGAAAGAAATATTTCAGACTTCCCTGTTACCTTTGCTATCTGTCTATAAGTATTAACAATAGACATAATGGCAAAGAAACATTTTAAAATTTCAAGCTACTGCCTGGGGATCCAAGGACTTCATCTGCATGCCTAAAAGAGTTCTACATATGCAGAAAACTTAAGCTGATTTTTCCTTCTGAGTGGAAGCTAATATCTCATTGCATACATGATTCTCCAAAGAATCTTCCAGCACTCTGAAGTGTTTTTTTAAAGGGGGCATAGAGTTTTTGTTAGGGGTTACATGTGTTTCTGTGGAAAGGAGGAGGTGGAAAAGTCCAGATACTTGTGTGGTGTGGATTGTCAAATGGTAAATGATATTAAAAGTGCACACTTTGGTACATTGGTGTCTTTGGTACATTCAGGTGGGTAGATGAGTTGGTCTGAAGCAGCAAGTCCAACAAAATTTTACTCAGGGAATTAGCTTTTGTGTGCAAGCACACTTCTTCAGATACTTCTTCATTGGTACAGTTGAGGAAGTATTTACTGTCATTGAAACCATGGGATCTTAAAAGTGAGTAACTTGAACTGGATCATTCTTTTAACTGTTCAGCTGTAAAGAAGTCCCTAACAATAAATCTCATGGATAAATTAAGAATACCATCTCCTGATTCATGAACAAATCGAGCTGGAATTTGCTAACAATTCAGTTGTACTATGACTGTTGGGAGCTGTTGAAGGATTTATTTTCTGCAATCAGCTGCAAATGAAACTGATAGTTCCATTCAGCCCTTAATGTAGATGGGCAGCCCACATAAAGATCCAGCAATGCTCAGCCTCACAGGCAATATTGAAAACTTCCTTGGGTTCTGTAAGGGAGAAGCGGCAGCTAACAAATGTTTTAAACAAATAAATATCTGATTTTACCTGGTAAATCCCATTCAGCAGAGGTCTAGTTCTTCTTCCAGTTGTCCCTGTAAATTTTGTCACTTACTGCTTTTGTTTTACTGTGCAATTGTGAACTTTTCTGGCTTCTCTGTGCTTAATTAATGACCTCCTATTACTCATGGTGGCTATGTCATTCCCCAATGAATCTTTAATTAGTTCTTTTCCTGACTGTGAAGGAGGCAAAGCAAAAGACTTTTCCTGAAGCCAAAGATGATGGTTCATGAATTTTCTTTCATTTTTCATAAGCATGGCTTTGTAATTGTGTGGTTATAATAATAAAAATTACGAGAAAATTGTGGAACAATTACATTTGATGCAAAAAGAAAAGCAGTAATTGAAACACACACTCCCAACAGGAGCTGATTAATCTGTTTTGCTGCGTGAGTAATAAATTAGAATGAGAAGCAGGAGCTGTCTTTAAAACAATAGAAAGAAGAAACCATTGCATGAGAAGCCTCATTAGAGCTTTGTCTATCCATTTTCAGGTGGCTGGTGAAAGTACACAAACAAGTCTTTTAAAAAGACATAAAAGCAAGACAGACAATACCGCGCTTCAATGGGTTGACAATCATTTTATCTGTTTCTCTGTAAAACAGAGTGAATGAATGTCTTGAAGACTAAATGTCTATGGTGGAAGCTACCTGATTCAGTCTGACTCTTGTTCAGATAGTTGGGCTTTTTCTTGGGGAAGGGGGATTGTGATTTATAATACTCCTCACAATCATACTTATTATCTCCTGAATTTCTATCTCTGATTACTAATATTATTAATACGTTTAATGGGTACCTTTTTGATATTGAAATGTATTATGATGTATCACTTGTATTGCAGTCTTAGAATTCAAAATGCTTTTCCATACTTATCCATTGTTCTGCACTGGTCTGATTTGTAGTGGGAGCTGGAATAGTTGCTGGTAGTAGCTACCCCCTTTTTAAACCTCATACTTTAAAGCAGTGAACAGCAGGTTGTATCCAGAATTTCAAGAAGGAGCAGAAGATACATTGTGGGATTAATGTGTTCTGCTGTTCCTTTAGATTGAAAACTGTGGCCTAGAGCACTGAAATATGCTTTGAAGTCATCATGGTAAAATGGTATCTTTTAATGGACAATTTTATGTTACTGAAACAGTATGCAGCAACTAAGTTAGAAACTTTACTTTGGGCAGTGACTTGACAGAATTCTGTGAACCAGAAACTTTAATAAGCCATTGTTGTTTGTCCACTGAATGATAATAGCTTGTTTATTCTTGCTTGCTGGTTTCCTATTTTCTGGTGCCAATGCAACAAAAAATACTAACGCTAAGCAGGGTCTCTTTCATATTTTTTCTTGCCTTGGTCTCAGATAGGGAATTATCTTAAGACAACTTTGATAAAATTACTTAAAGAAAAAACTTACATATAACTAAAGTTTGTTAATTAAAAAAATATAGGGAATTATCTTTAAAACTGGTATAGCCATAGTGATGCATTGAGTGATAAAGGAGTCAACAGGTATCTTTCCCACTTCTGACACCATCTAATGTTCTTTGACAATATGCCTTATCTGTTGAACAACAACACCCAGTCGTTGTTTATGGAACAGCTTTATTTGGTAGAAGGATATGCCAGAAACTGAGGGCAAAGAACAACATCACACCAACTGAGAGTCATCCAACCCTCCCAATTGTACCAGGTTAAATACATTCCACTATAATGGAAAACCACCTACTTAAATGTACAAACACATCACAATCCTACTCTCCTAAATTTAATCCTTACAATTCTGTGAAGTAGGTTAGGCTAAATGTGAGTGACGGCCCAAGGTCGTCCAGTGAGCCTCCATGGTTAAACGGGAATTTGAATCTGGGTCTCCCATATCCTAGTCTGACACTCTAACCACCACATCATACTGGCTTTCAGAGGAGCTGAAAAGAACTGTCTTTTAAAGAGCCGCAGCTAACCATTTTCCCACACCAAAGCCTGCATTATTTGCCCCACTTTGGAGCTACACTTACGGTATTTTGTTCACATGCAGCTCTAAAATGGGGAAAATAATGCCCCTCTGCCATTTTGGCTCAGGAAAATGTACGCGGGGGTGGGGTGGAAGGCAGAAGCCCCTGTTCCTCCCATGCCATGTTCCTGAGCGAAATCAGGCTCCTGTGCCTTTTTAAAAGGCAGCTCCCCACAGATCCTAAGTGGCTGTGGTGAATGCAAGTTGGGTCTGAGAAACTGGGACACAACTCATTAAAGTAGTAATGTCTGGCTCAGCACTACAGAGATGCATCCCTTTGTCCAGGAATGTGGTATTTCAATACCTTGTGCAGCCTGTAATTGGATACTCTGCCATGTAATTCAACTGGAAAAAGCAGCAGTGGGAGGAAGTAGTGGTGGTTGCAGATCACTACATTTGTTCCCATGTGGGTCTGCCCCAATCATGTATCAAGTGGGAATTGAGGACTCTTATGCATTCTGGCTAAGTTTCTGAGCAGATCTAGTGAATGACATTACAGAACTGCTTTGAGTACCTTGAATGAGAGGCAGTCTCTCATAAAACAACTAGAAAAGCACTTAAAGCGCTAAAATTATAAAACAACAAAGCAGTCCTTTTGATTTTTTGTTGGGAAACAAGGCCTCTATTGCCATACTTTCCTTCATGGCCCACTCTCTGCTGTTCACAGTGGAATTCTAGAGGTACCATAGTTTCAGCAGCTTTTGGAAGATGTTTAAAAGGTAGGGCTGCCAAGCTGCGATGGGGGATCCGTGCGTCTTCACAGGATCCCTGCCGCGGGGGACAGCGATACGCATTGCACCGCCGTCGCCAGGATGTGACGCTACGCGTCGCTCTGGCAATGGGGTTGTTTGGAGTCCCGTTGCCAGAGCGATGCGTAGCGTCACATCCTGGCGATGGTGGTGCAACGCGTATCGCTGTCCCCCG